TATCCCAAGCAGGGCTGGGAGGGGGGTATAAAAAGACCTCCTGCCCATGTGCTCACTCTCTCTCTTTCCTCTCCTCTGCTGCTTCTTGCAAGACCATCTGTCTTCTGCAATAAACTGTAACCTTCTTCCCAAAGCAGTCGCCATGTTTGCTTATTTATTCCCGGCTTGGATGAACCAGGATGAAGACTTACTTCTAACAGCCTTATGCAAAGGTTGTCATCCTTCAAATGAGCTGTGTGCCTCTCAACTTGTTTTTCAGTCGATTGGTGGAATGAAGGAAAGTTTCACAATCATTTGCCTTGTCATTTGAAAGCTGTGTGGTGATGCTTTAGTAGAAATCAATAAATTATCGCAGATTGATTAAAATTGTCAGCTAGGTGCAAAAGGTTTTTGTTCAAATGGTCCGTTTGATTCACTAAAAAGAGTGCTTTCACAGGTGCAAAAATTTGTCAGTTAACAAATCTATCCTAACTCACCTAATCTGATTTAAAAAGGGAACTTGATTGAACCATTTTTAAACCATATCCTGTATCTGAGCAGAAGCTTTACAGAATAACAGACTTGGAAGGGACCTTGGAGATCTTCTAGTCCAGGGCTTTTCAACCTTTTCACCCATTGTACCACTTTTAGAATATGGCAACACCCGAGTACCTTGCCTAGCAAGGTGTCAAAAACTTGATGACCCCCCAAAAAAAGGAAAAAAGTGATAAAGTACAGGTAGTCCTCAACTTACAACAGTTCACTTAGCGAAGTTCGAAGTTACAAAGGCACTGAAAAAAGTGCCCCCCAAGCCACAGCCAAGCAAGACACCTGTCTGCCCGCCTGGCCACGCTCTTCCTCCTGTCCGAGGTTTTCATTGTTGTGAGCGTTTCTGTTGAGGATTGGCAGCGGGGTTGGGGTGGGGGGGGTGTTTGGTTTTTATTCCCCCCATCTGCTAGGTGGTTGCAGCAGGTTTTGGTCACTTCACATGACCCTGGGACATTGTGACTGTCATAAATATGAATCAGTTGCCAAGCATCTGAATGTAAATCACAAGACCCTGGGGATGCTGCAACATTCCAGCTGATCGGCGCTTCTTCTGGGCTCAGCAGAAGCGCCAGGATCAGCGCCGAGCTCCAGCTGGAGCCTGGTGCTGATCCTGGCGCTTCCACTGAGCCCTGACAGCCCTGTAGCTCCAGCCGTCTCTCGCTCAGGCTTGTGCGATGCTGCCACCGGTTCAGCTCATTCCCCTCCCCCGCTACCACTTTTCTAGGATGGTCACGTACCACCTGCCAGGTGCCAATGTACCACAGGTGGTACCCGTACCACTGGTTGAAAAGCCCTGTTCTAGTCCAACTCCCTGCTCAAGCAAGAGATTTTATACCATTCGGACAAATGGCTGTCCAATCTCTTCTTAAAAACTACCAGTGATGGGCACCCAAAATTTCTGGAGGCAAGCTATTCCACTTGTCAGGAAATTTCCCCTTATTTCTTTTTATAATGCAGAAAATTATACCCCCCCCCTTTATAAAGTAAAACCAGGCATATCTGAAACCAGAAATTAATGTGCATTGTTTTTCTTTTCTTTTCTTTAGGGTTTACCTGGAAAATCTGGTCAAGATGGTTTACCTGGCCTTCCAGGCTCAAAGGTTAGTAAGCTTAGTGGCAAATCTTTGCTGGAAAGGCTTATCAGGGGTGTCAAACTCAATTTCATTGAGGGCCGCATCAGCATTGCGGTTGCCCTCAGGGGGCCGGGTGGGTGTGGCCTACTGGGTGGGTGTGGATGGAGTGGGTGTGGCCTACTGAGTGGGCGTGGCCAGCTCTACATCGTTTGCGTCAAGGGTGCCTGTGGGGGCCTGGGCAGGAGTGGGACAGATCGGAGGGTCTCTGGCAGAAGGGAGTGGGACCAGGGCAAGTGCCAAGGCATGGTCCACTGGAGGAGCCTCACTGTTCCTCTCAGGCCATGCGGGGGGGCGGGGCTTATGGAGCTAAGACTGAATGTGTTTCAGCATAGATGGCCACCACAAAATTGTACATTGGCTCCCAGGTGGCCTGGGCCAGGGCCAAGGCAATGGGGGCCGTTCCCTCACTGTTTCCAGATGGCTTCGCGGGCCACATGAAACCACTTCGCGGGCTGCATCCGGCCCCCGGGCCTTGTGTTTGACATGTCTGGCTTAAATTAATCATTCCATGTTCTGATAATTTCAAACAGTCATTACGTTTCTTGCTTCTTTACTTAGTACTAGGATTCATGATGAATTTCTGGCTAAATTCAGTGGCTAGTGGCTGAAATGTTGTGGCTTATTGATTCCAAACTAAGCATATTGGAAAACGGAAAAAAAAAAATCCAGAAGCTATAATATGTGTTTAAACATCTGGAAGCTACTATGCAGGACATCAAATATAGAGGTCTTCCAGGAACTCTTGTGTCAGTTGTTTGCACAGATTGGTGCATGCAACATTTCCTTGCACAAATAAGAGTAGCCTCCACGTGTCAGCCACCATTCTTTCACCTTTTTTTTTGTACTTGAATTTAATAAATCAAAATGTATGTTTCTTCATTTACTTAGAAGGAAGAACTAGAACGGATACATGGAAATTGTGAGAAAGCAGTTTTTCAGTAACCCCCAAGTGTTCTTTGAAACATTTGATTCTATCCTTATTCAACAATTGTATTTCATATTGTCTTTTTTTGGCTAATTTTCATCTATGTTTTTTTTTTTTACAGGGAGAACAAGGGGAAAGGGGAGAAGCTGGTGAAGCAGGCTCCAAGGTTGGAAAAAAATCATTTCTTATAAGATATGAGAAATATTGTAAATAACTAAAAGTAAATAAATACTGGAGCTGGTTGCTGGGGTAGGAAAGAAGATCTAATTCATATTAATCTCAATGGTTTTATATTTATGTTTTTATTGTATTTGTAAGTCACCCAGAAAATAAACATTTTCAAGCAGGCAAGAAAGACTTAAATAACTATCAATAACATTTAATGGCTTATTATAATACATCTTTCTATGTGCTTAATAAATACATGCATAGCATTCTTCACAAATCCTTGTTTGAAAGAGATTCAAATATTTGCAATAGGTTCTTCTTTCACTGGAGGAAAAAATAAATAAACATTCATACATTAGTTTTAGAGATAGATATATAAAAGTTTAGAAAATAAGACAAATGCCCTGGGAAACTTGCTATTTTGCTATTTTTCAGGGTGAATCAGGCCCTCCTGGACCCACTGGCATAGTGGGGGAGAGGGTAAGTATTGTTCATGCCAAA